GACGTCCGTCCAAGAAAGTCGAGAGTTCTAGGTTTAAAGATTTAAAGGTTTAAACCCTACAGCTAAAGTAATATTTTTTGCAATAACAAGCTGTTAAGATGCTTATTTGCATATTTACGCCGAGACGAATTATTATCACTACGGTGAATTGCGTACTTGAGTAGACTCTAGTAATTATTTTCTTTACCAATATTAAATATATGTTTGTTATTTACTTATTTTAAAAGAAAATAGTCTTTATTTGCTCTCTCACCTTCCGATTCATTCCCGCTCCGAATAACTCACCCACTGTCCATGCACGGCTGAGCAGTCGATTATCGTTCGTCATTAAAGAAATATTGAAAATAATTAGTCCAGAGAAGTCACAAGTCACTCGTGCTTAACGCCCAACTTAAGTTAAGAGAGAATTTGCGGTAATTCAGCGAGTAGCTATCGACTCAGAGTAAAATCATTGGTTGTCGACTGTGATAACAGAAAAGCGACGAAGTTGTGCCGTCGGTCGAGACTACGGTCACAGATTTGGCTATTTAATGAATAATCAATTTAATGTGGGATATTAATTTCAGCTTCAATTTGCGATTACATTTCAAATCCGACAAATCGTATCGGCGCGCAGTTTATAAAATTAAAATAATACACTTGTAAAAATTTGCATTTAGTATTATTAAGTACTAAGATCTGCTTTGACCAAAAATAGGATTATTTTCATTAATTGATTTATTCTTATCAGATTAATTTCAATTTGTAATTGTTTATAAAATTATCATTTAATGCATTTTAAATGCGTGCACGTCTTCAAGTGTCTTTTGTATCGAAATGATCGTGGATTGCTATTGAATCGAATTCTGGAAATAGGTTTCTCTCTTACGCCGAATATATACAAATAGGATATTGCAATTTATTGATTTGTGTCCATTTCTACCAATATATTGATTTTAATCTCGGTATAATTTACTCTTTATCCTTTTCTAATAAAAGTAGAAAAAAGATAAAAAAATAAGTTGAACTACATTAAGTAAAGTTAATCTATTATATAATACATTGAAACGGACAATAGACACTAGTTACACAGAGGATGAAAGTCGAAATTAAATCTGCCGCGGACAGACAAACGATAGAGAGACGTCATTATTTGAGAAGGATGTAACAGATTAATAACGTTGGATGTAAAACGATGTCTTAAAATTAGATCGTTCACACTCACCGTCATCACAGCGTACCTTTCCTTGGACGTATACATCATTTCAGAGCTACGATCGTCTTCGCACTGACGAGATGGTCGGAGAAATCGTGGAAGAAGACAGAAAGGAACTGTCACTCACCTGACAGATGAGCAAATCATAAGGATGACGTTACCGTTGTGTCATTGAATACCGAAATGTCCGGCTAGATATTACCCATCAAGAATGCTGATATTATTCACGATTAAACATTTGCTAGGAGATCAAATAACGTAACTCAAACAGCACTAATGCTGGCTTTATTGTAAGTAATTCGAGAACACTGTATGCAGCTACATGTAACGACTGTTGCTGAATCATTCGCGAAACGATACTTGAAATATATGGAATTGTTTTTATATTTCATCTCAATAAAAAAACGTGAAGGGAAAATAAATCTCTTCTTAGAAATCAATTTTTTCGATTTATTCTCGTTTGTACGACAGAAAAAAAATCTAACTTAGCTATTTTAAGATTACTTTTATATAGATGCTGCAGAAAAGCTCTTTGAGATGGAGAGATATGTATTTATAGTCAAAAGTACAACGTTATTTAATTCTATTAATTCTTATTTTTGAATTTTCTATTTTAATTCTTATTTTTGAATTTTTCGGATGTTTCGAATCTGATATGACTTATTCCCGTTGTCTCTATTATAGTTCATATATAAATCGGTTAGAAAGTGCGACAATTTTAATTTATTCCCGCGATACGGGAGGATTCATCATCGTCGCAGAATAGATGTACGAGCGTATAAATACACCATCGAGCTGACGTTGATCGCATCGGTCTAACGGAAACGTTCGAGAATATCATATCCGGGAACTCGATAAAATATATACCTATATATGATTCGATGTAATCTCTGCGGTAGTGTAGCCTAGTTTGATTCTATTTCATGTTTTGGTCTATCGGCCACGTGCAGTTAGATAAACCGAGCCTGTTTGTGGAGAAACGACGCGCGGTGAATTATTGTTTCATTAACCCATCGTATCGATATTTGATCAACAACGGAGATTATTGAAAAATATACCTAGATTGCACATTGTATTTTATTTATTGTTCTACAATGTTTTTATTATATATAAAATATATGTTATTCGGAAAATTATTTGTTTGATAGTGATGTAATTGTGCATACACAATTGGAAATTATTATAAATGTACATTTAAAATATTTTAAAATGCATTAAAATTAATAATATGTATTAAATAACGCTGTTTGAATATTTATTTATAAACAGCGTAACAAGAGAGTTATACTTTTTAATTATGCATTAAACTTATTATTTTATTTGCATAAAAGACGCGTAAAAGAATAATAAACAGATTCTTTAAAACTTTTAATGAATAAAAAGAAGTACGAGTAATACAAATATTTTCCATAAGGGCACGCTACTTGTCGATGATATTTGTGGCGCCAACTGTGAAGATACAGACATAACTTCACCTCTCTTAGTCTATCGGATAAGAGATGAATACAGGAACAAGAGCAATTAATTTTCAAAATTGACAATTCAATCAATATTTTTCACCATAACCGCACTTGTGTTTGACAATCAAGAAGTTAAATGTAATTGATGTGATCCTCATGTAATTCCCGAAAAAAATCGGTCATTCGCATTTAAAATGGCTGCGAAAACTGCCAACCAAATGCCAGAAGCATTTAACGTGCCAACAGCAGCTAATGCCAACAACAATGCCAGTCTGCAAATTTCTCTTTCTCAAATGCTCGATCTTGCTCTCGGAGCACCAGAAGTAAAATAATAGTAAATTCATTATGCATCATCGTCTTGCAGATAAAGCGATTAATAAAATTATTGATTTCAGGTTGGCGCGGTTAATTTTAATATTCTTCATAATTTCCTACATATCATGTTGCAACAAATAAATTTGCAGGCTGCTACAGTTACATTTCATGGTGAAAATGCAGATCAAGTAAAAGTAAGAAAAATAATATATCGAGTAATTGAAAAAAGAAAAGTGGTAATTCTTTTCCTTATGTGAGAGCTATTGCAGAGGATGATATCATCTATGAAGCCGAGACCAGAAGTAATGCGAGTTCGAAGAGACGATGGTGAAGATGCTGATGTACTTACAGAAGGTAAAATACTCATGATTCCTTTTTTGAATTCCTGTATTTATTTAATTAATTATAAATTATTAAAATAGATTGATTTCCTTCAGATATTCAAGTGCCTACAGAAACAATTTTGAGAGTGACGGAAGATGTAACACCACAAATAGATTTTGAAAAAGTCCCTGAAGCTCAGATGGTTGTATCTGTGGATAATAATTTTTCTCTACTGGCATCTCAGTTTAAAGAGCTCGAAAAATCTGTACGTAGAACGAATCATTTTTAGAATTGATATTATATACCATAGCAATATAATGCATTCACTAAGAATTTAATCAATAGGTAAAACAGATACAAGATCGATATCAAGCTTTGGAGGACTTGGCTAGGTCTCCGGAAATCGAAGAATTAAAAGATCGAATCGCAGATCCTACCGCGGATATATGGCAATTTGTTAACATCAATAAAAGATTGGACACTAATGAACAAGGTATCGATAAGGTATACTGTTTGCTAATCTCGTAAACATCTCGCGTATGATATTTACGTTCCTCTGCACCTCTAATAGTTAAACAAAAATAAATAAAAGTTAAATAATCTTGAAAATATTAAAATAATTAAACTTTACTTTATTAATTTATTAAATTATTATTACAGCTTACAGCGATGGTACAAGATGTGATCAAAGGTGATGTTGGCGTAGTAACAGCAGACACATCTTTGATTAATACAAGACTGGATGAACTCGAAGATAAGGTCTTCAAGATGGAGCAATGGCTTACGAATTTACAAGCAGTTGTCGATATGTTAGCCGAAGAAGTACCCGAGCCAACTACTGATATAACAGAAGTAGAAGAAGAAGTAGAAGCAGCAATAGTGCCACCTACTGATATAACAGCAGTAAAAGAAGGAGAAGAAGAAGTAGAAGCAGCAATAGCAGCAGCCGCAGAACCAGTAGAAACTAACAATATGATAGAACATGAAATCGAAGAAAATGCGAAAATACCTAAAGTCCGTAGAATAACAGCTGAGAAGCTTGCTGCTCGAGCAGTACTTATGAGTAATAAGTTTAATGATTTTGAATAAAAATTAGTCTAATCTCAAAGGCATTGTTACTTAAATCGTTTATAAATCAATATAGTCGCTATTTTTTTAACATATTAGAGCTTACTGACTGATGAGGAAATATATATTTTAGATGACAATATTATAGAAGAAATACGCCAAGATATTACTGCGTTAAAAACGGACGTAGTACTTATACAGCAGGAACTGCAAGATCTTAACGAAAGAATTGCACGTATGTTGATAATGTATATTTACATTTATTTTATTTTATTATATAATATTATATTTGAATATGAGAACTAAAATGCCAACAACGATTGTCGCTGTGTTATTAGTAGAAGAAAAGCCAGTAGCACCATTGCCACAAGAAATTGAATCTATTGTTGAAAAACTGATTAAAGAAAAGGAAAAAATAACCGATGTTACAAACTTGGAGCAATGCTTGGAAGCTGTGAAAAATGTAGAAACAACTCATGGCGAAGCTTTGAACAATGTTACCCAACGCGTGATTTTATTGGAATCAGATTTTAGAAATTTGTTAGAAAAAGTAAATATTATACAAGAAGTTGACAAGACAGATAGCGCTGACGTTAACACTCTTATTACACAAGTACAAAAAATTGAAACGGATATGGAGACAATCGGACAAACAATGAATAAATTACTCGAAGATAAAGAAAAAAAAGAAGCGCATATTAACGTACGAGCTTTTTAATAATGACATAAGATTAATTAAAACATTGCTCATTTTTTGCCTTAAATAATATTTGAATCTGAGTTATATAAGAGTAGCTATCTTGTGTTTTCACCATTTATTTGTGTCTTATTTATTATGATTTATAATAATGTTGACAGACATTACTGGAACAAATTGAAGTTCTAAAAACCGTTAAAGCAAATAAAGAGGATATCGAAGATGCTTTGGCTGACAAAGCGGATGCTCATGCTATGAAGAGAAAGGTATAACAAATTGTTAAGTTTATGATTTATTTGTTATTGATACAGATTGAAATATTAGAAAAACTACTGTAGGTATCGCATGAACAATTTGATGCTGCTTGCGATGATCTCGCTCGTGGTCTCGAGGAAGCAATTGACAAATTGTCAAAGCAAGAATCGATTTGGCAACAAGCGCTCGATGAAGTGCAGAATGAAATCGCGACCAAGCTGGATAAAGCCGAGATGGTACCGCTGAAGGATTTTGTGGATGACAAATTAAAGTCGCTTCACGAAAAATTGAAGATTATGATTGAAGCAAGACGAGAAATAGAGGCAGCAGGAACAAAGAAACTGCTTACGTAAACATTTTAGGCTTGCAAATAAAACTTCAATGCTATGTTGACATTTTTCTCTTTTATCCAGAGATGTTCAATGTATATCATGCGACAAGGATGTTGTAATGAGAACAGAAGAAGTCGGTAAATTTCGAACCGAGCCATTTCCTTGCTCTACCAGCATAAAACCTTATCTCACATATGAATTGGATCAAGTTAGAAAACAACAGAAAAAATTGCCTTACAGCAGAAATCTGATCCAATTTGAAGCAGCAGTGCACGAAGAGGCAAAGAAAATGAAAGCGAAGGAGGAGATGCTTGTGAAGAGTCCTAGGTAACTCGTTTTACAATATTTTATGCCATCTCGGAATCTCGAGTAAATATTACATTTTGAAGAACAAATATTACAAGCTGATATTGATTAATATTAATGAATATTAACATTTAAAGCATGAATCTTTTTTCAAAATTATAATTATAGACTTAACGCTTTCCAGAATTTTTAAATAGCAAAATGACAAAATATTATCTTAATTCGATAAGTCTTTGATATATTAGAGATCATCTCAGCAATCGATACTGCGGTGGGAGCCACACAGTCACGACTCCTCAGCAAAGAATCATGCGGGCGGGTCATTTTCTTACTCAGTGGGGACCCGAAACGATACAATTGACGGATGGTTTGATAAGAGGAAAAGACGGTCAAATGTATCGCAGTCGACCCATATTGGATAAATCGGATATCTGCGGTCCAAATTGTTGGGAAGGTCAATTTATCGAGGAAACTGAACTCACGGTGAATGTCAACATGAACTAGTTATCATAAGTAATTCACATACTCATTTCACTGGCAAAGTATATTATTCACTCTCATAATTCTCTCAGGAATGTTCGACGGTGTCTCGTAAACCTGTACCATTACGACGAAGTAGCGCTGGAAGCGCTCGTTAAATAATACAACACATCGCGTTTAGAGAATTTACAAAGGTATTTAATAAAGGTTATTGTATAATTAAATTGAATTCAATATATTTGTTAAATATATTAAAAACGTAGAATTAAATATGCTACATACATTAAAAATTAAATATGTTTAAATACATTAAAATTAAATATGCTTAAGTACATTATGTAATTACAATTATTGTTGTTATTACGTTGTCTGTACATTTTTCTTTTGCCGCGAATTACAAAAAAGCGAAATTTAAGGGAAAAAAATCGAAAGAATCGATAATATCAAAATCGAGAGAAAAATCAGTATATTATATGCATTTCGTTATTGAATGTTTAAAAAATTAAGAATTTAAGCTCTTCATATAATTTTCAATATATATA